CAAACTCCTGGGCTCAAGCAATCCTTCTGCCTCAGCCTCCCGAGTAGCTGGGACTACAGGCATGCGCCACCATGCCTGGCTAATTTTTTCTATATAAATATATTTTTAGTTGTCCAGATCATTTCTTTCTATTTTTTTAGTAGAGATGGGGTCTTGCTCTTGCTCAGGCTGGTCTCCAACTCCTGACCTTGAGTGATCCACCCGCCTCGGGCCTCCCAGAGTGCTAGGATTACAGGCGTGAGCCACCGCGCCCAGCCCCTTTGTTCATTTTGATAATGGGTTACTTGGTTTTTTTTTGGTATTGGGTTGTATGAGTTTCTTATATATGCTGAATATTAGCCCCTTACCAGATACACAGTTCACAAATATTTTTTCCCCTTCTATACTCTGCCTTTTTATATTGTCGACTGTTTCCTTTGCTGTGCAGAAGCTTTTTAGTTTGATGTTGTCTCACTTATTTTTATTTTGTTTCCTTTGATGTGATATCCAAAGGCTTTTCATGTAATATCCAAAATATCATTGCCAGGGCCAATGTCAAGAGGATTTGCCTATGTTTTCTTCTAGGAGTTTTATGGCTTCATATCTTACGAAAGGTCTTTAATCCTTTTCTTTTTTTTTTTTTTTTTTGAGACAGAGTCTTGCTCTGCAGCCCCGGGAAGAGAGCAGTGGCATCATCACAGCTCACTGCAACCTCAAACTCCTAGGCTTGAACGATCTTCCTGTCTCAGCCTCCTGCGTGCCACCATGCCCAGCTAATTTTTTTTCTATTTTTGGTACAGATGGGGTCTCATTCAAGTTGGTCTCAAACTTCTGAGCTCAAGCAATCCTCCCACCTTGGCCTCCCTGAGTGCTAGGATTATAGGCGTGAGCCACCATGCCCGGCCTACCCTCTTATTTTAACCAGTATTTATTTCTGTACACAGAGAGAGAGAAAGAGCTTCCCTGCACCCTTTTCAGATAATCAAATGAATCACTTATTGAAAGGCCATCCTTTCCCCACTAATGTTAAAAGCCAACTTTATGTTATCCTAAATTGTGATAAATACATAGGCGTTTTTCTAGAGTCTCTATTCGGTTCCATTGTTCTATTTTTCTGTTTCTGATCAATAACACATTATTTTAGGTACTATAATTTTCATATCTTATGTTTTGATGTCTGACAGGGCTAGTCTCCTCCTTCCACCAAAGCTTTTAAGTCTTGCCTAATCTTGTACATTTTCTTTTCTAGGTGAATTTGTCAATTATTTTGCCAAGTTTCATTTAAAGAAACCTGAAAAGAACTGAATACATGGATGAATTAGGAAATAGCTGACAAAGTATTGATGCATAGTATAGTATTAAGCTAGTTCATTCAGATATGCAAAATGTCTCCATTTATTCAGAAATCTTTTAAGTCTATCAGTAAAGTTTTATATTTGTATATTTCTTTATTCATAACAATGAACATCACTAATAACGCATGTTTTAGTATCACATTCAATTACATATAAGAGCACTGTGTTGGGAAACTGGAAGACAAAGAAACATGACAGTACAGTGAACTTTAGAGTAAGATGGACATGAATTTGAATACTACCATTGTACCATCTCGGGTAACTACTTATGTCTCTGAGCCTCAGTTTTCCTGAGCCATACAATGGGAATAACAACTATATCATGGGGTTGTTGTAAAGATTAAAGAACATAATACACAAAAACTTCCTAGCACTGTGCTTGGCACATGGTTGGTAATATTAAATGGTAACTGTTAGGGAGAGAGCAATCTAAGGTATACAGGGTACTTTTCAAATCCCAAACAAAAGCTTTCTATTTTGAATTGGACTATGGCTAAATAAATAAATTAAATAACAGCTCAATTGGATCACATTCCACATAGAAAGAGTAGTTTACGGGGTCCCCAATAAGACATATTCTACATTCCATTCACAATTTAAATAGCAACAACAACAACAGTGATGACAATGATAATGCCACTGCACAGATCAGGAGGGATGACTCATTCTCCCTCTGGAATGCCTGTGTAGGGGTGCAGTGGAGGTTAATACACTTTGAAAAGAAAAGAATCAGGTACAAGAAAGACTGAGCAGAGACATGGACAGACCACATTAGTGGAAGGCAGTAGACATAATAAGAATAGTTCACAAAGGAGAACTTCTTTATTTCTGATATTTCTTTCATGTGTAGGGTCTTTCATTAGCCTAACAATCTCAGCTTCTTTCCACCTTTTCACTAACTGGTGAACTCAAGATAAAGACCTAGGCCTGCACAGCTTAGAATCTTTCTAGCCCTTGCTTTCTGGAGACTAAAATGCCCACAGGAAACCTACATGCTAATTTGTTCATGTATCCAATGTTTTATAGGTACAGCTATACCACTCTCAGATAAACCATGCTGTTTAATATCAGCTTTATCAATAATGAGGTGGTATTCTGGTCTCTCATCTGTCTTGCTCCTTTGCCTTATTTCTCAATTTGTTCAGAATTTGGGCAAAGAAGGACACTATTTACTGGACCTCCTAAATGGACAAAAGTGTGATAAAGAGCCCTGGCAATGGAAAGACTGACAGATACTCATTAAGTGACAATTAGGATACTTTAATTAGCTAATTCTAACATAACATTTGCAGATTCACTTTTCTTTAAATAAATCTTTTTTCTGCTATGCTGTTATTGGCATGGTATCCAATATAGAGATTTTTTTTTTCAGTTTTCTTATTGGGACTTGAACCCAAAAAAGTGTTACAACCTCATAAATTATTTTGGAATATTTTGTTCCATACATGTCATAGAGCCAAGCTGGTAAAATTCCTTGTATAAATCCCAGAGTTAGATGATATAAAGGGCCTGGGAGGGGCACACCATCCTGTCATCCAGTCTTGTCATTGCTGTATGTTATCACCCTAAAATCTCAGGCATGGCCTCACAGTAAAATTGCCTTCCAAACAGTTCTTTACAATGAGTGTAGGGTTTTGTCCGAATGCACATGTAGTCTTATGTTGGAGCCAAATTTAGATCTTATTTAATTGTAGTCTAACATTTGATTATTTGAATTACATAAATAAAAATATTACCAAGATTTACAGAAGGCATACCACAATTATTACTTATTTTATTTTTATTTACTTACTTCTTTTTGAGATGC